ACCCCAACTACAGAGACCTTGGCAGGGTTTAAAGGCCCTTTAAAGGAGGGGAGAACAGAGTAGGTAGCCCCCGTGTCCACCAAGAAGGAGATTGGCTTACCTGCTACCCACAGCTTGGCCCTGGGCTTGGCGAGGGTGATTGGGGTGTCCGAGTCCAGGCATCTTCAGTCTTTGAGGATGCCCAGCAGGTCTGAAGGATAGTCCTTCAAGGGCATCTGTCCCCCGCGGGGCTCTGCCACCAGAGGAGGACCACCCCCGAGTGGACAGTCTACTTTCCAATGACCTCACTTACCACAGCTGGGGCACAGTCTGGTTGGTCTGTGTGGTTGGTTAGGGCACTTCCGTGCCCAGTGCCCTTCTTCACTGCACCAAAAGCAAGGGCCCGGAGGTTCAAGTCGATCTTCAGGGACACCCTGACGATTTCCACAAGCCGGCTACAGAGCAACTGTGATGGCGCGGGTCTGTTCTGCCACTCAGGCAGCTGACCTCCTCTCGCTCTTGTCCTCTCAAGCATAAAAAACTTTAAATGCCATATCTACCAGGTCTCCTAGAGGGGTCTGGGGACCATCCTCAGCCTTTTTAAACTTGCACCTGATGTCGAGAGCTGACTGAGTTATAAAATGCATGGCTAGGAGAGAGGAACCTAATGCTGAGGCCAGGTCAATTTTAGTAAAAGCTCCTAGAGTTTCTTTTAGGCTCTTGAGGAATTCTGATGGGTTCTCATCAGGCTTCTGGGTAATTTCTCTAAGCTTATCATAATTGATAGCCTTCTGGGCAGTTGAGTTCATACCTGCCAGTAAGTAGCGTACCATGTGGTCCCAGCACACCTCACCCTCTGGAGTATCATAATCCCACATGGGTTCCTGTGGAGGAAAAGCTTCTCTGCCCATAGGTTCCCATTCATCTGTGGCATGGGCTTCATTGGCACAGTGCTGTGCTGCTGCCGTGACATGGTCATATTCCTCGGGGGTTAGAGTGGATTGGAGGAGTACATGCACATCATGCCAGGTGAGCTTGTAGGCTCAAGTGAGGTATTTAAACTGCTTAGCGAACATTACGGAGTTGGAGGAAAAGGACCCCAATCGCTGGTCTACTTGGGACAAGTCTGCCAGAGAAAAAGGAACATGAACTTGCACTACCCCTTCAGCTCCCACTACCTCCCTCAGAGGAGCCATCACGTGAATTTGAGACCGCTGCGACTTAGAGCGGGTTGCAGGAGGGCTAAACCATTTTGGTGCCAGCTGTGGTGAGTAAGATGACGGCAGGTTTGAAGGAGGGGACGGATGGGGTGACCTTGGCAGTGGGGGATATAACATGGGAATCAATGCAGAGTTTGAAGGCAGGGGACTGGGGTATAGGGGAGTTTTATCTTAAGTGGAGTTGGCACCTGTGGAGCGAGATGGCAGTGCGACTGGAAGAGAAGGGGAACAAGGTGGTGGAGAAACTGGAAGAGAAGCGGAACAAGATGGCGGAGAAACCGGGAGAGAAGGAGAACAAGGTGGTGAAGAAAATGGAAGAGAAGGAGAACAAGGTGGTGGAGAAACCGGAAGAGAAGGAGAACAAGGTGGAGGAGAGATACACGGAGGGAGGGAGCTGGCCCCTGTGGTGGGCCTGGAGGAATGGGAAGGGGCGTAGCCGAGATCCTCCGCGTCTGTCAGAGAAGAGCCTCCCAGTAATAGGGGTGGGTAGAGGTCGTGGTCTTTGGCAGAGGCCTGGGCCAACAAAACTTGGGAAGGAGTACATTTAACACACAAATCTGGGCGAGTGCGCAAAGTCCAAAAAGCCTGCACGTATGGGATTTCACTCCACTTTCTGTTCCAATGGCAATAATTAGTTAAGTTGGTGAGGAGGCCAAAATCGAAAGTTCCCTGAGGGGGCCAGTGAGATTGGTTGTCTAAGGGATACTGAGGCCAGGCCTGAGAGCAAAGGAAGACCAGCTTCCGTTTGTGAATATCCTGGGACAAATAGAGAGTAGCCAAATTAGAAATGAGACACCAGAATGGGGTCTGGGCCTCTCTTTTTGAGGGCTGGTTCCCCATGTCTGCGTTTTTTCCCAACTAATCCCGCTGAGAGGAGCGCCCAGCGTCCCAAGTGCACCAAGTCAGGGGAGACGTCCTGGGAACCTGGGTGAGGGACGTCTCCCACACCACAGGGCCAGGGGCGGGCCAGATGCCCGTAAACGTCCTTGGGCCTGGGGTAGGGATGGCTCCTGTACCGCAGGGCCAGGGGCTGGCTGAATGCCCACAGAGGATGGGCTGAATGCCCAGGGGCCAGGTGCCCCCCTGGACGTAGCTATGATTTCTAATGGATCAGGTGAAACAGAGTTAGGAAGAGAAACAGACCGGGGGAAACTGAGGGACTCACCGGAAAATAGTCCATGCAGAGGAGAGCAGTCTGAGGTCCCGGGTAGGGGAAGGAGGGGGCGGAGCCTGCCCTGGGTTTCGGCACCATATATGTAAGATAAGTAAGCAGGCGAAGAGAGGCAACAAATGGCCAGGCAGTTTGTTTGAACGCAATCCCCAGGTGATATTCCACCAGTCTGGAAATTGCAAGCCAGGGAAGTCACACCCAGCAGGGCAGGCAGCAAGTTTTTAAAGAAGGCAGGGGGAGGGAGGGCAAAGGTGTACATTGGTGCAAGGATTGGCTTGTATAGGGTACGTGGGGGTCTCTTATTGGCCTTTAGCCAGGTACTGGAAGGTTACCACTAATCCTTTAGCTTGGGGGAAGGGCTCTAGTTGGGAGGGTTATCTTATTAGTCTCTGGAATGTTGGCAGACAGGAACCTGTTGGTCTCTTCGCCTCCTTTGGGGAGGCCTGAGTTTGTCCAGCAGGCCCACCCCTTCCCCTGATGCCTTCCACCTAACAATAGCTACAGCAAGTCTTCTCCAAACACTTAATATGCAAATATATTTGGGATTTTTCTTCAAGAAGGACATAGTTGTTTCTCCAAGTTATATTCCCAGGGACTCTATTTCAGAGAGGAGGGGGTGGAGTGGTAATAGCTCATAGCACAAGTATTCTGAGGGATACATTTTGGGAAGTTTTGGCTTAAATAGTAATAGTATCATTAATTTAATAAAGTAATACTGTTTGTATCATGCTGGTGCCAATCTAAGCATTTTTACAATCCTTATACCAGTTCCATGTGGTTGGTCCTATTTTTTACAGGTGAGGGGACTGAGGGAAGTTAAGCAATTTGTCTAAAGTTGAACAACTAGAGAGTGGGGATGTTTGATCTCTGTGGAAAATGAAAATAGAAAATGGGAATGGAATTATGGAATTATGTTGTTCCTTGTTTCTTTTGCCTTGTTACAGAACAGCAGTTGATCTCATCACCTGCATTTTTGCCTTTAAATCTTGGATACTTAGTGTCTCCTTATGTCTAAGAGTTAGAAGACAGGTTTCACTTTCTTTCAATTAAAAATTGCTTAACTACACTCTCATTTTTCAGTGTCATAGGCCATTTAATAGTTAAAATTTTCATTTCCAATTTCATTAAGGATAAATGTTTCCTATTGCCAACGTCCACTCTAAAACTTCAAATGATTGACAAATTAAATAGATCTGAAAACCTCTAGATTAAAAGAAAAAGATGAAGTATGCAGAGGCACTATGTCTTATTCTTTTGTACAAATGGAGGCTTATATATGCACTTGCTCTTTCATTCATATGCTATACTATATTGTTTGCCCTCATCAAGAGAAAGCATTGTGCTTCAATAATGTAAATTAATTTACATAAAATACGTATTCCTTTTTATACCTAGGTAGAAAAACAAAGGAATTGGTAGAAAGTTTTCAGAATGTAAAGTAATGTACCATTTCAGATAATCCTGTATATCACCATACACTAGAAAGAAAAAAGTATTATAGTTACAAAAAAAAATCCTCGTGAGTTCTGTGATTGAGTTTCGTGGTTCCATAGAACACTTGGGGAGGCCTAACTGAAGATTCCTGGAGCTGACACCTGCTCGGTTCCAAACGCTGAAGAGTAAACCAGGCTAAATAGGCAAACATTCTACATTGAGACACAAACGGAACTGTGTGCTCTTGCTTTATGAATCCCAAGCAAATAATCTTGTGTTCTAAGTAATAAGCCTTTCACTTACAGTATGATAGTTTTTCATCATTTAGTATTTATTGAAGGCCTACAATAAGAGTTTCTGACAGTGCAGTGAAGAACAGAGCAACCTGTTCCTATGAAGCGCACACTTTAATGTGTTCATGTGTTCCACCGGCCAGTTATCCTAAAAAGATAGTTTGGCCACGTATCCTAAATTTGTAAAATCTGCCTTGGGGAAAGGAAAAGACACGTGCGACCTTCGACGAGCTGTAACCCGAAACTCAGCTCGCGCCTAGAGGCGACAAAAGCAACCGCCCCGCGTCGCCTGGCTCGCAGCGGCGCGCGGCTCTGACGCTAGACTCCGCCCCCTGCTCCCTTCACAGCGTCCCCGCCCCCTTGAGCGAAGTGCGCAGACTCTTAAACCGGCTCTGGCTGTCTGGGGACGCCGCGCAACCTGGTGCGTCGCTTCCCGGTGAGTTTCTGACTGGGCGCCAGGCGTGGTCCTTCCGCAGTGGCCGCGCCGGGAGCAGGGCGCTGCAGCCGCAGTCCGGCCTCGGTGTTGGTAAGCAGAAGCCCCAGCAGCGCGCAGCCCCTAGCCTGGCCCGGCAAGCCCCGGGCGTAAACGTTGCTGACTGAGGATGGCAGCCTCTGGTGTGGAGAAGAGCAGCAAGAAGAAGACCGAGAAGAAACTTGCTGCTCGTGAAGAAGCTAAATTGTTGGCGGGTTTCATGGGAGTCATGAATAACATGCGGAAACAGGTACCGCCTCTGTGGGAGTGACAGACGGCGGGGGGGTGGCGGTCCGGGACTCGCGACCCTTGCTCCCTGGGCCGAAACCGGCGCCCATGGACCGCGACCGTCTTCTTGCTCGGTCCTCGCCCTTCTTTCTGTTTGCGCAAAGCTGCCGTTAGTAGAAGTCAGGTTAAACAGTTCTGGAGCAAAAGCGCCTCCCCTTCTGCCGGTGCTGTGGCTGCCAATTCCGACTCCTGGGGGACTCCTCGGGCTGGCATTCGGCGCCGAGTGTCGGTTGTGTAACAGCTCTGCCCTAGTTATCTCTTTGTGAGGCGAAGATCCCTCCACTGGCGAGCCGTTCAAGGTGTCGTGAGATCTTGTGCGACGAAGCGCCTTGGCACAGCCCAAGCCGAAGCCCCCTGAGGAAGGAGAAGCATTGCCGGCCTGAAATCAGCTACTCTTAAATAAGGATCCCCGCCCCTCTTCTTTTCCCCGGGTGGAGCTAGTTGAAGATAAATCCTCCTGTTCGGGTTAATTTAGAGCAGGAGCAGGCATCGATAGCTACCGTGTGGTCTTTGAAGGGCAGTCTGCGCCTGTTATTAAGAGCAGCTCTTTGTTCTTTGATGTGTGGCGCATTTATGAAAGACTTCGGCGCTTTGGCCAAAGGTGGGTTATGAAAACGGATGTTAACGCTAGAGAATGTAGACTAGAAAGGGTTTATTTTAAATTACATAATATCTGATACCAATAAGCATAGAAATGTCAGTTGGTTACATTTTATATTCGGTACGCTTTGTTTATAGAAAATATTTATCTAATATTTAGGGGAATATTTCAGTTTTGTGACAGTGGTCCTGTTTTTCAAGAGGACAAAGGCAGGATGTGAGTACGAGGAACTGCAAAAGCTAGTTTGTTTATCTAGTGGTTCTTATGGGAATATGGAAAACAGTAGAGGAATTTATGACTTTTTTGAAGATAGTAACTTTTGGTTTCTTTAAGCAAACTCTGATGCCGGAATCTTGTCTTTTTTCGTCAGCTCCCAGCATGGTGCATGAATGCAGTAGATATCTGTAGGAATGCATTTAAATCTTTCTTGTCCTTTGTGCTGAGGTAGTTGCAAATGTCTGACCTCAGTATTTTATGTAACTTACTTTCACGTATCTATTTTCATGTATACATTCATGTTCCTTCATGTATACCATTTTATATTTACAATACTGCTGACTTCAAGTTATTGGTGCATTCTGCCTATAAATGGTAGTCAAAGACAGTCCACAAGTGCTCAAATTTGTTTGCAGCAGCCCTCCCACTCCCGCAAATAATTTTTCATCCCTAGCCTATACCATTGTAAAGCATTGCCTCGTTCCTTAGATAGATAGGGTGCAGCTGGGTTGCAGCATCAGCTGTTTACTTGAGATTGTCTCAGACTGTATGCTTAGTTCTTCGATTTATATCCATTTCTTAGACTTAGCTTTAGACTGTGCTAACATCTGTTTACTTAGTAGAAATACAGTTACTGAAAAACCATTATTCTGTTACATAGTAGGGGAAGGGGGAATATGGAAGCTAGGTGAGCAAACTGGGACGTTTTCCTATCTTAATCTGCGGAATTCTCCTTGTGTCAATGATTCTCCTTTGCATATTATTCAGACAGTTCCTAATAGCCCTTTTATGAACTTTATGAAGTCCTGCATCTTTTGTAAGATGTGCATTTTCAATTTCCAGTTGATTTACATTATAGTTTTTTGCTCTGTTCAATATTATAACACAGGAGATACTAACAAAAAATGTCTGACAAGGGCAGTTGGTAGGAATTGGCAGAAATAGAAGCTGGTGTGAGCCAGAGAAGGAGTGTTTGAGTGAGGACCAGTTTTTTAAGTGTTCTTGTTCTTTAGTGAGTATCTTTGTGTTGTGACTATTTTTATTTCCCCTTATGACCTCATTACTTTGAAAATCACAATAATGAGTGCCAGAACACAAGGCCTCCTCTCTACATACCCAGAAACATCCCTATAAGAATTTGAGAACACTGTGAAATTAAAATACCTGAATTCCAATTTCTGCTCTACCATTATTAATTAGTTTTATGATCTTAGATAATACAATTTAGGTTATTTTATCTCTGTAGCATAGCAGCCAATTCTATACATAGTCGTGAAAGGGGAGCAGAGCCAGGAGCCTCTGCTTCTTCCAGAGCCTTTTCCTTTATTATCCTTTCAGTCATTTCAGCCTTTTGGTTTTAAGTAAACTTCCCAATGAAGATGGATTCCCAGTGAAGTAGGATTCACATAAAAGGATACAAATTGTAAATGTGCAGCTTAGTGAATTATTACAAAGTCAACACACTAGCACCACCAAGAAATAGAACATGACATGTCTACCAGAGGTCCCCCCTTATGTCCTTCTCAGAACCTAGCTCCTCAAAGGTAACCACTGTTGTAACTTCTCTCACCATACATCTGTTTTTGAACTTTTGTAAATGGAATCATAGTGTGTATGTTCTTGTGTCTTGCTTTCTTTAAGCCAACATTGTGTTTGTGAGATTTATCTATGTTGTGTGTCTAGCTCTAGTTCATCCTCACTGTATACAGCATTCCACTGTATTAAAACACCACAGTTTATTCTATTATTATGGATGTTTGGGTTATTTCCAGCTCGGTACTATTAAGAATAGCCCTACTTTGAACATTTTTGTATATTTTGTATATGTCTTTTGATGTGCACATGTATGCATTTCTGTTGGGAAATACCATGAATGGAGTAGTTAACTCATAGGTCATTCTACATTCTGCTTTAATAGAGCAGTTTATAGTCATGGTTCATGTCAAAATCCAGCTGTCATAGTTTCCCAAATTTTGTGGCATGAGAGTGGCTTTTGATCTGCCTCTTTGTTAACACTTGGTATTGTCAGTCTTTATAATGTTAGCCATTCTAGTGTGTATAGTGGCATCTTATTTAATTAGATTGAGCACCTTTTCATTTATTTTCCTAACTTTTTGTTTAGTTTAAACTTGTTACCTGGTAGAGTAGAGAGGGGCTCTCCAGCAGGGCTCGGTCATAGTCACTACTAGGCATGTCTACTTGCTGTTACTGTTGTGTTAATGAAGTCCAGGAGACCCTTAACATGTAAGGCATATGGTTTGAGACCTTCCTGAGTACCATGATAATGTACAGTTTCCTCACATTAAATGAATTAAGGTGTAAATAGAATTTCAAAGCTTGTGCTAAAGCCCTATTGAGAGTTAAGTGAGAAAACCACAAAGCTGATTTGAAGATTGGATGCTGGATAGTCAGCTGTGTTCACTCACTAAAATGACTCAGCTTCTGTACATTCACCTCTCCAAAACTGTAAATTATTTACATGCCATTAATCCTAAAGGTCTCTTGTGAATAATATAAATCCTCACACTTCCTGAGCACTTACTCTCTACTACCCATTCTGCAAAGGGTTTTACATGCTTTCTCTCATTTAATTCTCCTAACAACTTCCATTGACAATTCCCATCATCCAGACTTTCCTCTTCTTAAACTCTCTTCTGTCTTCTCTTTTTGCCTGCCCAGCTTAGGAAATATCAACTCCTTCTTTATTTTCTTCCCAGTACTGCAGGCTTTCTTGACCCTCTGTCCTTTTTTCACATCTATCTGGCAAAAAGCACTAATGACTGTTTACTTTTTATGTACAAGGCTTTCGAGCACAACTGGAGAATATCTCATTGCTGGGCAATCCTCTGCCAAGTAAGTCCTACTTTCAGCTGGGCTGTCAGTACAGTGAGCAATCCTACTTTTCATTTATTTTTCCCTAACCTAAGTCCTTTGTATCTTTTCAGTAGATCATCCCTCTTTTGACATCACAAATAGAGTCATTAGTCTGAAACACTACTTTTTAACTTTTAACTTTCCACCACCTAATCTATAAACCTATTTTGACACTTTTTCTCTTTATTCTGCTACAATGGAGAAGCTGCCCCTTTTCCATCCAAGGCCAGTACTTTCACCTGGGCTCTGACGCCCTCAGTGCTAGCCTGGTCAGAAAAATTATTCTGTTGGTTATTTCATCTCTGCTGAGCATCTTTAACTTCTCTACTGGATTCTAGCCATTAGCATTTAGGCATGTTTTAACCTTTCCAGCTTTTAAACCAGCCAGCAAACCAAACCACCCATTCTTAGTTTCAACATACCCTTGTAAATAATACCTTTCTCTCCCTTGTTTAAATGAAAAGTTGGGTAGATTGGCCACCTCTTTTGGGTCACTGTTTATTTTTTCCCCTATCTCAGTTTGGCTCTCTAGTTCATTCATTCAGATGAATACTTACTGAGAACCCACCATGTAATAGGTTTTGGCAGATTCTGGAGTTGCAGTGGCAATCAAAGCCAGACAGTCCCTGTTCTCCTGCACTTTAGAGTCTAGTAGGAGAGAGACATTAGTCAAGTACACAGAAAAAAATGTAAAATTGCAACAGTGATAGGTATAATTAAGGAGAATAACATAGTACAATGAGGGCATATAGATGGATGGTTTGACCTTCTGGACAGTTTCCCTAAGGAAGTGATCAATGAACTGAGAGCTGAAATAAGAGTAGGTGTTAACTAGACACCTTAAGGAAGAGCCTATTACGTAGAAGAAACAACATATGCAGAGGCCCTGAATGAGAGACCTACTTCCCATAGGATGACAAGTACAAGAGACTGATTAGAGGCCAGTGAGACTGAGGCACAGAACATACGGGGGAGAATGGTGCAAGATGAAACTGGAGAAGTAGGTACAGACCTGGCTGTGCATAGCCTCATATATCAAGGTAGGATGTTTGTCTTTACTCTAAAACCCTTTCATGTGTGTGAGGAATTAGTGGATATTATCTGTTTTTCTTTTGAAAAGGATGACTGACTGCTCTGTGGTAAAGGAATTAGAGCTCTGAGAGTGGTTGCTGACTGACCAAATAGGAAGGTGTTGCAGTAGCTCAGTGAGATGGTCCCTTGGGCTAAGAGGTAATAGCAACAGCAATATTGATAAAGAAAAAGTGATAACATTTAAAGGATATAGAAGGTAAAATCAACAGGACTTGGTGGTCATGATTAGCATATGTGGTTGTGAGGACTAACTTAGACAAATTAAGATGAAGCGGTATCTGATAATGAGTAAGTTCTCAAATGGGGCTATTTCTGTAGCTGTTGTGGTACTCGTGGTTGATAGGATGCTGAGGGATTCACTACAGAGTGTCACTGGCCTTGGGTTCCAGAATCATAACTAGAGATGACACCATTCACTGAGGGGAGATAACTGGAAAAGGATTAAGGCTTTGAGGAAAGGATTGTAATTTGTATTTTAGACATGTTTAGCTCACATTGCCCATAAGACACTGAGGTGAATGACGAGTTGACGGGTCTCAACAGTTGTGGATTCAAAGTGTAAATTTGTGAATTATCTCCAGATAGAAGGTAACTTCTTCATTGAAGCTGCAGAGAATCAAGAGTCTATGATAAAGGTAGGAAATGGGTCTGTAAAGGAGACAAAAATGGAGTGGCCAGAAGAGGTAAGAGGAAAACGAACATTTTGGGAATCATCAGAAAGTGTTCCAGAAGGAGGATGGCAAACTTTGAAACATGTGAGATGCCAGAGTAAGATTAGAAAATTCTCATAGGATAGTAGCAACATAGAGAGGTTTGTT